CCGCCGGGAAGCCGAGGCCCGCCCTCGCCGGGCCTGCGCCGCGGGAACTACAAGCCCCAGAAGGCATCGCGCGGCTGCGGCGGCCCGGAGCGCCCGCGCGCTGCCTGCTGGGAAGTGTCCCCGCCCCGGGCGAGGGAGCGCGGGAGTCGGAGCCCAGGGCGGCCCGGACCGGACACTGTCGCCCGCCACCCCGAGCAGCCGTGTGCCATGGCCTCATATGGGCCTTTCCCAGACGTGGGGCACCGGCCTCCTCCTCCCCGTAGCTAACAGCTTGCTGCCCAGAGGCCTGCGCAGGGCTGCCCAGTGGGCTTGCAAGTGCTGGCCGTGCCCCCTCCACCCGCCAGGCTAGGGCCGAGACTGAGGTCAGACACGGACACGGAGCAGCATCTGTACTTTTATCCGTAAATCAGCGGGCGGGGCCCAGCCAGCAGAGTCATATAAAACACAGACAAGAACAAGGAAGAGTCCGGCAAGGGCCGAGGTCACGCAGAAAGGTCACTGTTATCAAATCGCTCCTGGTCATACACTTCGGCCACCACCTTGCGGCCAGCAAACCAGCGCCCGTTCAGGGCCTGGATGGCCTTGTGCGTCTCTGCAGCCATGGAGAACTCCACAAAGATCTTGACAATGATGTCCGCATCCTCCTCCTCCCCCTGCTTCTCCTGGTAGATGATAACGCGGTTGACAGCCCCAAACTTGCCGCACTCCTCGGTCACCTCCCCCTCCAGGTCATCATCAATGTCCTTGGGGTCCACCATGTTGCGAAGAACCATCACTGTGGACTGTGTAGGGAAGGAAAGACAGCTGAGTTCTGCGGCCAGGTCAGGCCAGCCTGCTGCCTGCCCACCCACCTCCTGCCTGCGGCCCCACGGCCCCACCTCCTGCTTGCGGAGCAGCTTCTGCATGACCATGTGGCGGGCGCTGCTGCCGGAGATGCTCATGTGCTCCTGCTCACTCAGCATCTCTGGCCGCTCAGACTCGGGGAACAGCTCCTCCTCCTCCTTCTCCTTCTTAGGCTCCAGGAGACCGAGGGTCGGGGGGCTGGCAAGGATGGGGTTCACCACCCCCACGGAGGGAATGGTGACCGGGATGGGAGGACGGGCTGGGGTCACACCTGAAACACAAACAAGCAAACCCATGGGTCATCGATCTCCCTCCAGTCTGGTCCCGGCAGCTAAGCTGGCCAGCAGTCTGACTGCTATGCCCAAGCCTGTCCCGCGGGAAGAGCCAAGATGGTCAGCAGGGCAAGAACAGACTGGAAACGGAGGTGGCCAGCAGTGGGGGAGAGGGACAGGAAGGGACTTGTACCCTCTCAGACTTACCTGTGATGACGCCAGGAGCCTGGGCAGCCATGACAGCCTGAGGCAGAGCACCCAAAGGCTGGGCCAACGTCAAGGCAGGTGACACCAAACCTGGTGTGGCCAGTGTGCCCAGCACTGCTGCTCCTGCCACTGCTTCCTGTAACACCCAAAGTCACCATGATCAGTCCCTTAGAGCATGAAGCCAGGCTGTCCCCCATGCTTCAACAACCTGCCTCCTCCTACCTGGGCAGTGATCTTGGCTGTGGCTGCAGCTGCAGCTACAGCAGCAGCAGGCGGGAGGCCTCCAGGTGTGGCAGGCGTGAGCAGCGGCATGGGTGGAGTGACAGCCTTGCCCACCCGCAGATATTGGCCACCCAAATCAAAAAGGTTCATCGAAGACACAGCATCTTGGGACGACTGGGCCTTCTCATACTCTGCAGGCAGGGACAGCGTTGAGAAGGGGAGTCCACCACAGCCCTCCGCCCCTGCCATGACCCTTGTACTCACCAATGAAGCCATAGCCCTTATGCTTGCCCGTTGTGGGGTCCCGTGCCAGAGTACAAGATTTGATCTTGCCAAAGGCCTCAAACACGCTCTTAATGTCATCATCTGAGAGATCCTGGTGCACGGAGGCCACATAGATGCGGTTGAAGGCCCTTGCCTCCTCAGCCAGCTGGTCAATGATGGGCTGGGCCTGCCCGATGTTGCTGGGCCTGCCCACCTGGGGGAAAGAAGAGGCTGCTTGGGTTTCTGTAGCTGGCACAGTGAACACCCAGTGCCTGGCGCACAGAGCCTCACCTTGATGTTCCTGCCCCCCAGCATCACTGAGTTCATCTGTTCCAGGGCCAACTGTGCAGCTTCCGGAACCTCATATTCCACAAAGGCGAAGCCCTGGGTACAGAGGCACGACCGTTAGGTGAGGAAAGAAGACAATCCGCGCAGGTGCTCTGCTCTGCGGGAGCAGTGCTCACCTTGTGTTTCATGGTGACTGAGTCCCAGGACATGTCTATGCTCTTGATGGGCCCAAAGGGCGCAAAGGCTTGGCGGATGGTGTCCTCCCCCAGCTCGTAGTAGATGGAGCCCACGTAGACCCGGCACATGATGGCCAGCGCGCGCTGCCGCTGAGCCGCCATCTGGAACAGGACAGAGCAGGAAGAGAGCCACTGGCTCATGAGGGCAGGCGAGCAGTGACAAGCCCACTCCCCTCGGCCCACCCAGCCCATCGGTAGGGCTCCCAATGTGCCAGCAGCACAGGCCTGGCCCTGTCAGAAGGCTGTGGGGTCAGCAGGACCCCACCCCCAGAAAGGCAGGCCAGAACCACAGACAGTGTGGACATAGCCCACCCAGGTCCCCAGCTGAAGGCAGCAAGGCTGAGTGTCCCGCCCAGCCCACCCTCCGGTGGGGTCAGGTCCCCAGGCCAGGCAGGATGGCCTCTGATTGGTCTGGCCACATCCTGTGACAGAAGAGGGAGGGGGGCCTCCCAGGCTGCAGCACTGGGTCAGGCCAGAAGAAAGCGGCGGGCAGAAGAGGGCAGGTGCGCCCAGAAGTGCGTAAGGGACGGGAGGGTTAGGGTCGGGGGTGTGTGTGTGTTTGTGTGTGTGTAAAAGGAGCCTAGTGGGCCCCAAAGGGGGAGCTGTTTGTATGGCCGGCCGGCTGGCAATAGCTCAGGGCCTGGTGCCCCTGCCCCTATAAAAAGGGGCTGCCTCATGCCCCTCCACAGTTAAGTGGGCCTGGCTCCCTATGGAGCCCCCAGAGGCAGAGCCCAGGACTCCTGGTGCCTTAGAGGCAGGGAGGTGAGCTGGCCAGGTGGGCCCGATCGAGACAGACTGTCCAGAGTGCAATAGCCCAGGCCCTCCCCACCACCTGGAAGAAGACTGGCTGGGCTAGGCCCCAGAGCCACAGGCAGGCCACCGCAGGATTCTGTCCTGTCGGAGAATGCAGAGGCTCTGGCCCAGGCAGCCCTGGCCACTCCCCAGAAGACTCAGTGCTCCAAGGCCCTGGCAGCAGAGCCCGTTCCACCTTTCTGTGCCAGGTGGCCTTTGTGGACTAGGCCTCATCAGAAAAGGGACTAGAAAGGAGGCCCCCATCTCTCTGAAGCAGAGCCCACCCTGACTCCCAAGAGGACTCCCCAAAGGGATACAGGTTCCCTCAAACCGTGAACTGCCAATGTGGGGAGACTAGGCATCTCAGACAGGACTTAGGCTCTCTGTGCAAGGGCCCTAACAGGGAACTGCACCCCTCTTCCACAGTGCCCAGCTATGGGCAGGTCACAACACATCCACATGGGTTGCTGATAATGAGGGCCTGGAAACATCCCCAAACCAGGTGCTGCCAGACAGGATGCTGGCCTGCCCGCCCCTTATGTGCAGCACCCAAGACCAGCACACCCAAAGAATGGGGTGGGTCTTCCTGCCCTGCAGGGCAGACCCCCAGAGGACAGCACCCCCAGTCAAAGCCTGGTCTGCACTGACTCTAGGGGTGGAGGCGGCTAGGCACCTCCCCGGCTTCCTGGGGCCCCCAGACCAGGTGTGGCTCCCCCGCCTTGAACAAGGCTGCCTGCTCCCTGGGTGCTCAGCCCTCGCTATGCCCAGGCCCGAGGCCAGAATCCTCGCCCTTCCCTTTCGCTCACTCGGGGTTCCCAGCCCCCTCCCAGGTCACCCACCCTCCCTCCAGAGTCTGATGGGATCTTGAGTTAGGACCCCTCTCTCCTTGGGAGCTTGACCCCAGCCCGGGAGCCAGGGCAGCCTGGGACTGAGTGGCCGGCCGCCGGGGGAAGCGGCCGTGCGTGCAGGGCCTGCGGCGGCCCTCCCTGGCCAGCTGCCGCGCTGCCCTCCGCAGTTACCTGGCCGGTTAGACTTAAGGCCCTCAGAGGAGGGGCAGCCTCCCTCGGGCGGTCCCGGGGGGTGCCCGTACACTGGCTGCCACGCCTGGCTCTCGGCTGCGCTCGTCCAGAGCGGGCGACAGCGAGGCCCCGGCTTGCGGGCTTCACGCCCCCCTCTAGCCCTGACTAAGGACATGAGCCCAGAAGAAGTGAGCAAGTCTATTGACCGATTGCAAAGGCGAGAGAGGATCTCCAAAGCCCATTGTCACTGCTGCCATCTGAAAGACAGTAAAGACAGAGTTCAGTCTGTTGGAGCCGAGCAGTCCCCTCTCGTCAGCACCTCACGCACAGTGGCAGGCCCGGTTCCCGCCCTGCAGCCAGGCCGCCTGCCTGCCCACACTGCTGGTCGCTGGCCGGCGCCGGCGCCAGCCCAGGGGGGCCTCAGAGCTCCGCTGCCCAGCCCTGTAAGCCTGGCCGGCCGGCAGAACACAAAAAGAAAGGGAGGGAGGGCGGACAGAGAGGGACACGTGAAGAGCCAAGGAAGCTCCTGGCAGTGTGTGTGTCTGAGGGCGGGATGGGGTGGGGCTCGAGGCCCAGGGACCTGCCGGCCTCGCCTGGCCCCCCACAGGCCTAGGGCCCTGTCGGGGAGACCTGCAGACTCCCTGCAGGCTGGGACCAGGATGGGGGACAGAGGCGACAGTGAAGAGCAGTGAAGGCCTCTCCCAGGCCGTGGAGAAGGGCCAGGGTCTAGCGGGCCACAGGGAGGGAAGCCCGGGCCCCTTGCGCCTCAGGGAGGGCCTGGGGTCCCTGGAAGGAGCCCCTGAGTAACTGAGACCAGAACCTGCAGGGCGGCAGCAGGAGAGAACAGAGGAGGAGCTGGGGGGCTTCCTGCGGGTTGGGGGGCGGCTCACCTGCAGGTTGGTGAGCTGCTGCTGCTGGTGGGCGATGGTCTGCTTCACCAGCACACTCTTGATGCTCTGCTCCATGGCATACTTCTTGGCCTGCGATAGACAGCAGTGAGGAGCCCTGGGGGGCTGGCCTGGTGGGGACACGGCCTTCCCTGGCTGCCCACCTGCCCCAGCCTGGGACACCTGCTCACCTTCTGAAGGGCCTCCTGTTGTTCGGGCGTCAGGGGGGGCAGCCCCAGCTTGGCGGCTGTGCTCTGCCCGTTTTCCATCTTGATGGCATCTGAGCCCTGAGGGGGAAGGGGACTTTAGTGACCAGCCCAGGCCTTCAGCACTGAGCTCTGGGCCGAATACGGCCTGCAGCACCAGCTCTCCTGGGGGGGGGGCACCTCCCCACCCTCGGACCTATCCCTGTCCAGGACCCAGACTGAGGCAGGTAAAAGGCAGGAGAGAGAGCCCTCCTCCACGGTGGGAGGTGAGCGTCTTTCTTGGGCGCTAGCACTGTCACCCCAGAGGTCCGATTTTCAGGCTGCCCCAACCTCTGTAGGGACTGGGAGGAACCCACTGCAGTCGACAATGGTGTTCTTAGTGAGGGAAACCCCAGAAGTAGCCATGGGCACGTGTGGAAAAGGCTACTCCTGTTATTTGCTCCCGCCCCTGTAGACAGTACTCACAGCCACTAAGGAACCCCAGCAACTGAGGGTGCTCTAAGGGCTGTGGCCAGTCCACAGAGCAAAAAAGACCAGCCATGGGAGCAACGACTGACAGCAGTCTGCAAACCTAGTGTGGCGCCCAGGGCACAGAGAGAATAGGGCTGCCCACGCCCCGCCTCCTGTGGAAGGAAACCAAGCCAGCTGAATGAGGTGGGGGTCCCGGGCAAGGCCAACAGGAGAGCGCTCAGCCTGTGCACGGGCTGGAGATGCTAGGAACTTGCTACACGGAAGGCCGAGGTGCACGCTGTGGGCCCCAACCTCTTCGCTTCCTGGGGTCAAGGATGAGGGAGTACAGGCTAGCGGATGATAACAGGCAAAGGGATGGCAGACCTATGGTCCAGGAACCCACCAGTCAGCTCCCCACTGGGTTTTGAGCTCGGGACCAAAGGGCATTAAGTCCATGAGCCCCCTAGGTCTCAAACAGATCCTGCCTCATCCCCTAGTGCAGAGTGCTGCAGTTCGAGGGCCTCAGAGAGGAGGGGCTGGGACTTCAGAGCCGCCGTCACTATGGTGATCAATGCCAAGCCCTCAGTCCCCTAGAAAGTTCTCAATACTCTCTTTGTCTTGATAAACAAAAGGCCCTTCTCCCACCAACCAACAGCCTGGACAGACAGCCCAGCAACTGCCACTTCCCAGGACCCAAGCACATACCATGTCCCCCCCCGCCCAGTTTGTCTGTGGGGCCACAGAGGGTGACTGGCCCTACAGGCCTCCTGACAACCTCCAACAGAAGGGTGGAGAAGACACTGCCATGGAGTAACACAAAGACCCCCTGCCTGGCCAGCAGCTCGCTCCGCCCCACTGCAGGACACCCCTGGGCCAGGAGCTCTGAACTGAGAGGAGAGCGAGCCTAGGGGGTTCCCCGCCAGGACTCTTCCACCAGCATGTGACCTGCTTTGTCGTCTCATTCAGACAGCAATGCTGTCAACACACTGTTCCTGGATCTTGCAAAGGGCAGTGTGCCCTGCACAATACGCCCAGCCTAGACCCCGGCACTGGCACCCGGGAGACAAGGTCACCCCAAACACTGTGGCCATCACCTGCCAAGTGCAAAGGGGGCCATTGGCAGCAGTGGACAGGGTCCTGTCCGGAGGGCAGGAGTGTCCCTGGGGTTTCGTGACCCAGGGAAGCTGGGTGGGCAGGCAGAAGGGCTGGCAGGAGGGGAGACAGGCAGGCCCGAGGGAGGAGAGAGTGAGAGTGGGTACCTGCGGAGGTTTCCATTTGTCTCCTGCTGCCACCACTGCCGCCGCGGCTGCCACTGCTGGCTCGGGGCCCCCGCCTTGCTGGCCACCAAGCTGCTGCTGCAGGAACAAGAGGACCCACCTGACCTCCTGCCCAGCCAAAGGCCACACTCCCCGGGCAGAAGCAGAGGCCTCACAGGCCCAGTGTCACATCACACTCCCGGCTCCAGCCCTGCCAGCACACCCTGCCAGCCCCAGCAGATACCAGCCAGGTCTATCGATGGCAGGGGCTTTGGGGGTGAGGGGTGCAGAGAGCCCAGCTATGCCCACGAGGCCAGGAGAAAATCTTTCTCCCAGGCTAGGGGCTGCATGGCAACCAACAGCTGTGGTGCTCAGCAAACTAGGTGACACTAGCTGTCCCTGGTCTTGCCTGAGCCAGGTAGGACCATCCCTCAGGTACTCTGCAGACCCTAAGCCAGCCCCATCAGCGGGGACCTGAAGGGTGGCCTTCGGAGTAGGCCCAGCAGATGGTCAGACGGTCTCAAGGTCAACCATTTCTGTTCCCACCAACTCTGTCAGATGTCAAAGTGCCCAGAACCCCCACTTCACGGGAGGGCAGGGCCACACACAGCCAGCCAGGCAGAGGCCATGAGTCACAGGCAGAGGCTGAGCCAGCCCAATGGGAACAGACTGAGAACCAGGAGAGAACCTACGGGGGCTCCCAGCACAGGGCAGGGGCACAGAGGTGTTCACTGACTGGGGATCTCCTAAGGCCTGCAAGCTTCCTTCAGGTTTTGGGGAACAACCCAGTTCTGGGCCCACAAACAAGGCAAACAACTTGCTGCTCCTTTAAATTACTGTGGTAGTCCAGAGCTTCAAGTGAGACGGCCCCTGACGACCCTACAGCTAACTACAGTCACTTGGAAGGCTCACTCGGGGAGCTTCCTGCGAGCACCTCACAATGTTTCCAGCCCTCTGCAGTCCAGAATCCTGCTCTAACCTGATGCAAGGTGCATGGAGAGGCGAGAGGACCCCGCCGGTCAGCTCCCTGTCAAGAGCCTGGGGTCACGGCACCCCAACCACAACTGCAAGGCTCAGTGGGCAGGACACACCCCATGGGCAGCAAAGCATGGAAGAGGCCGAGAAAGTGAACTGACCTGGGTGCTGCTGCTGGGAACAGCTTTCTGGTAACGCACACAAAATGACTGGGTGCTTGTGGTCTACGAAGTGGGTCGGCCAATTCTACTAAGGCCACTGAGATGCGGAGACCATCCTGCCGCCCCTGGGGCTTCAAGGGAATGCTCTGCAAGGATCTGTCCCTGGGAGAGCCTCCCCAACGGTCCAGCTCTGCAGGTGGGCTGGGGTGTCCTATGAGCATTGCTGACCTGAGGTGTCCCTGGGTCGAGCATGACTCACAGTGACCCCATGAACAGATCTGCAGCCTGCCCTATCTATCTGGTGCCAGTCTCATAATCTCACTCCAGTGCATTGCTGTAGACATCACGTCAGTCCCTCTCTGAACAGAAAAGTCCTGAGAGTCGGGCACGGGGATGCATCGGGGACGGGGAAGCATGGGGGGGGGGGAATCGGGACAGGAGGATCAGGGACGGGGGTGGGGTGGGTGCGCATTGGGACGGGGAGGCTTCGGGGACGGGGATCAGGTGTTTTCCCTCTGGTCTGGCTGAGGGAGACGGCTGGTACCTTCCTGCCTCATTTGAGCCTTTTCAGCCCAAGGCACCGGGTGGAAGGAAATCGGTCTTCAGGCCCACTAGACCCTCCAAAAGGGGCTGCCTATAGGGTTTCCCTTTGTGCGCCCAAGTCGCAGCACAGACCTTGGGCAAAGCGCAAGCCCAAGCATCCGAGAAGATAACGGGATGCAGCGCTCGTTACCTAGCAACCGCCTCCAGCTGCTGAGTATCAGTGCGAGGGCGAGAGAGCCAAGGCCACCCCTTCTCCTAGACTGCTGGTCCTCTGCCTCCCTCCCGCCGAGCAGGGTCCCCCACTTCAAGTCTGGGCCACAGGTGCACGTCCCCGCCAGCACAGGAAGGACGGGCCGCACTCGGCGGGCACTGCCGCGCTGGACATGCTCCGGGTTCAAGAACGCCGAGCGTTGCTGGAGGACTTGGGGTGGGGAGAGCCATAATTGGCAGGACTAAGTGGTAAATTAAGGAACTTCACTGCAATCCTGAATGCATGCAGTTCCAATTCCTCAGCTGCTCTTGTGTGATTAATTACTTCTACCAGGTGATTTCAGGTGGAGGGTCAACCATGAGTTGGTTCTGATTCGACAGCAAACAACAATAGCAGGAACAGGAACATTAGCCTAAAGCTGCGAGGCTAAAGGCTTAGGTGCCTATGAGAACATTATAGCAGCTGTCCTGACCGAGTGAGTGAATTCTGAATTTTTACTTCCCTAATAAACTTTGTAAGTATTAAAAAAAAAAAAAAAAAAGAACGCCGAGCGTGCCCGGGAGTCCCCAGCACCGGCCCCCCACCCCCGCGACGACCGGAAGCCGTATTCCACCAGCAGGAAGCTGCATCGGCGGTCGGGACTCGCGCCGCGCGCTCCCGCTGCCGCCCCGCCCCCGCCCCGCCTCAATCGACGAAGGCCCGCAAGGCGCCGGCGCGGGGTCCGGGAGCAGCCGGCGCGGTCCCAGGAGAGCCTCCGCACCCGACACCGAATCGCCGGTCCATCCCTGGCAGCTGAGAGGCAATCCGCAGTCACGGATGCATCACTTACGAGAGCTATGGTTGCCGTCGCCATCTTGCGTCCGCCGCGACCACCGCGCGCACCACCCCCTGCTGTTCCCTCTGTTGTCTCGCGAGATTTGGGCGGCCCATCAATTCCCGACGAGAACTGAACTCTCACGATAATAGGCCTGTTGACAAGCAATGTGTGGAGGAAGACGCATGCTTCCGGGGCGGGGCGGAGACAGGAAGTGGGCGCGGTCTTTGTGCTGGGGGCGTGGCTATGGAGAGAAGGGGCGGGGCGAGATGGGGGTGTCCGGCGCGGGTCCTCCGCTACGCGGGCGGGTTGCCCATCACCGCTTCACACGCTGCCCACCGTCCCCACCGTCTGCACGCCCAGATGGGGCCTCTGCGCGCAGAGGTGCCTTTGCCGTTCGGCTTCCCACCGCCTAGAGCTGACAGCTCCCTCTGGGCTGAAGGCGTTCTGCGCAGACTCGGGAGAAGAAAAGGGGCAGGAGGTGACATTGTCACCCAGTCTCAGCGACTTAGGGCTGTTTTCTTCGCACTCCAGAGCGCTCTCATGGCGCCGGGGCGGCCCTCTTGTTCCATGTGAATAGACGCCAGTTGGGCCTTGGCTTGTTTTATAACAGAGAACAAGATTTTCCTTCCTAACCTTTCTGGAAGCTCTGCTCCATCGAGTGGGTGTGTCCCCAGCCCCCTGTCTGGGAGTCAGACCACAGGATCCGGCCGGAGAGGTCAGAAACTCAACAGTGTACATCCTGAAACTGGTCGTGATGCCCACAGGATCCAGCAGGTACAAGTGCAAGCTGGTGCTGTGAACCAGTTCCTTGTGAGGTGTCCGTGCACCACCACCCAGGTCCTGCAAGTCCAGGTCTATGTGGAGAAAGCTGCTCAGAGAGCTGCCAGGTCATGGCAGGCTCCAGACCCCAGCCCACTTTCCCTTACCCTCAGGAAAGCAAGCACATCAGAGACCTGAGACTGGCCCTCGGCCTCATCAGCTGCGATAACGACGGGGCGCCACTAACGCTGGGAGATTTAAAATTCCACACAGACGCCTTTTACACTGTATGAGTTCTGGTAGTTCGAATCCACAAGCGGCTAGAGGGAGAAAAAGAGACCATTTCTTTCTGTACCGTTCACAGGCGGAGTCCCAGGAAGGCTCAGCTGCGAGCTGCTTCTGACCCTGAGAGTGAGCTTTTAGTTCAGTAGCAGAAAATGCTGGCCTCTTCTCCTTTCCCCCCCCCCCCCC